CCATGTGGTTTTAAGTTTGTTTCTGTAAAACGTAAACAAATGTGCTCAAAGCTGTGTGGACAGGGAAGACTTGTGGACACAGAAACGACGTGTCTGGACGTAAATCATTTCCGATACGGTGATACGGTGATTAATTTCAGTGTAAGCGTAATCTAAATGCTAGACATGTAATCTGCGAACATCTGTACCGTTCGAATTGCAGAAATCTCTGTCTATGTTAATATCTACATCATGAAATCGATTTTAATTTTTATTCTAGAATCAGTCTGAGTTCACAAGTTAAGTATTAATGAATTACTCATTACTTCTGTTTTATTATATGCTCAGGAGTAGTTCACTAATGCGTCGTCATTGTTCACCTTTAAGTTTTCGGTTTTCTTGATTTGATAGTTGTGGATAAATTCTTCATGTTTTTCCTTTGTCAATCTTGTTGTTGAAGATTTGGTGATGAGGCAGATTTATGAAGCTGGTGGAAAATACGTGACACATTTCCACAGACATTTCGCCACAGAAAAGCATTAACATAAATGACGTTTACCCCACATTGTGGCACTTCCAGGCCTGAAATTATCCAAATGATTCTCGTGAAGGTGTATGGAGTTTATAAACACAGTGGAGCACAGTGTTTCGAGAAAAGAATTCAGCTTCCAGTGTTGGGAAGGTGACTTTTAAAATGTACAGATTACAGCATCCAAAATGTAGTAATGTAATCTGAATACTTTGGATTACTTGATTTGCTGTAGAGAAGCAAAGACGAGGAAATCTGCTAAAAGAAAATAAAAAGATGTTAAATCCTGTTTTAGTCCTGGTTTAGACCTGGTTAGACCTGGTTTAGATCTAGTTTAGACCTGGATTTAGTCCTGGTTTAGACCTGGTTTAGACCTGGTTTAGATCTAGTTTAGATCTAGTTTAGACCTGGTTTTAGTTTAGACCTGGTTTAGTCCTGACTTAGACCTGGTTTAGACCTGGTTTAGATCTAGTTTAGACCTGGATTTAGTCCTGGTTTAGACCTGGTTTAGTCCTGGTTTTAGACCTGGATTTAGTCCTGGTTTAGACCTGGTTTAGATCTAGTTTAGACCTGGTTTTAGTCCTGGTTTAGACCTGGTTTAGACCTGGTTTAGATCTAGTTTAGATCTAGTTTAGACCTGGTTTTAGTCCTGGTTTAGTCCTGGTTTTAGACCTGGTTTAGATCTAGTTTAGACCTGGTTTTAGTCCTGGTTTAGACCTGGTTTAGATCTAGTTTAGATCTAGTTTAGACCTGGTTTTAGTCCTGGTTTAGACCTGGTTTAGATCTAGTTTAGATCTAGTTTAGACCTGGTTTTAGTCCTGGTTTAAACCTGGTTTAGATCTAGTTTAGACCTGATTTTAGTCCTGGTTTAGTCTGGTTTAGACCTGGTTTAGATCTAGTTTAGACCTGGTTTTAGTCCTGGTTTTAGTCCTGGTTTAGACCTGGTTTAGATCTAGTTTAGATTAGACCTGGTTTAGATCTAGTTTAGACCTGGTTTAGATCTTGTTTAGACCTGGTTTAGTCCTGGTTTAGTCTGGTTTAGACCTGGTTTAGATCTAGTTTAGACCTGGTTTTAGACCTGGTTTAGTCCTGGTTTAGACCTGGTTTAGATCTAGTTTAGACCTGGTATAGTTTCTGGCAGTGAGTGGCCCAAAATGTGAAAACAGGAAAATCCCCGCGTGTAATCAATCCATTTATTTCAACAAAAGTAACTGTAATCCAATTACCACTCACCGAAACTGTAACTGTAACTGAATACAGTTACTCATAATTTGTACTCTGATTACATTACTCCGGTACATGTAATCTGTTACTCCCCAACACTGTCAGCTTCAGGGTTTATTGGTTAAATATAAATTTAACTCATTTGACTTGATAGTTGTGGATAAATTCTTCATGTTTTTCCTTTGTCAATTCTTGTTGTTGAAGATTTGGTGATGAGGCAGATTTATGAAGCTGGTGGAAAAATACGTGACACATTTTCATAGAAAAGCATTAACATAAATGTTGTTTACCCCACATTGTGGCACTTTCGGCCTGAAATTATCCAAATGATTCTCGTGAAGGTGTATGGAGTTTATAAACACAGTGGGGCACAGTGATGATACTTACTTGATTTGCTGTAGAGAAGCAAAGACGAGGAATATCTGCTAAAAGAAAATAAAAAGATGTTAAATCCTGGTTTAGTCCTGGGTTTAGACCTGGTTTAGACCTGGTTTAGATCTAGTTTAGACCTGGATTTAGTCCTGGTTTAGACCTGGTTTAGACCTGGTTTAGATCTAGTTTAGACCTGGTTTTAGTCCTGGTTTAGACCTGGTTTAGTCCTGATTTAGACCTGGTTTAGACCTGGTTTAGATCTAGTTTAGACCTGGATTTAGTCCTGGTTTAGACCTGGTTTAGTCCTGGTTTAGACCTGGATTTAGTCCTGGTTTAGACCTGGTTTAGATCTAGTTTAGACCTGGTTTTAGTCCTGGTTTAGACCTGGTTTAGACCTGGTTTAGATCTAGTTTAGATCTAGTTTAGACCTGGTTTAGTCCTGGTTTAGTCCTGGTTTAGACCTGGTTTAGATCTAGTTTAGACCTGTATAGTTTCTGGCAGTGAGTGGCCCAAAATGTGAAAACAGGAAAATCCCGCCGTGTAATCAATCCATTTATTTCAACAAAGTAACTGTAATCCAATTACCACTCACGAAACTGTAACTGTAACTGAATACAGTTACTCATAATTTGTACTCTGATTACATTACTCCGGTACATTTAATCTTTACTCAACACTGTCAGCTTCAGGGTTTATTGTTAAATATAAATTTAACTCATTTGACTTGATAGTTGTGGATAAATTCTTCATGTTTTTCCTTTGTCAATCTTGTTGTTGAAGATTTGGTGATGAGGCAGATTTATGAAGCTGGTGGAAAATACGTGACACATTTCCACAGACATTTCGCCACAGAAAAGCATTAACATAAATGACGTTTACCCCACATTGTGGCACTTCCAGGCCTGAAATTAATATTCCGTGAACTACACGGGGTGTTTCCAGAAAAGAATTCAGCTTCCAGTGTTGGGAAGGTGACTTTTAAAATGTATTTCCCCTACAGATTACAGATTACATACCCTAAAATGTAGTTTGTAATGTAATCCATTAAATTATTTAAAGTGAGTAATGTAATCTGAATACTTTGGATACTTACTTGATTTGCTGTAGAGAAGCAAAGACGAGGAAATCTGCTAAAAGAAAATGAAAAGATGTTAAATCCTGTTTTTAGTCCTGGTTTAGTTTAGACCTGTTTAGACCTAGTTTAGACCTGGTTTAGACCTGTTTAGAGTTTAGACCTGGTTTAGATCTAGTTTAGACCTGGTTTTAGTCCTGGTTTAGTCCTTGTTTAGACTGGTTTAGATCTAGTTTAGATCTGGTTTAGACCTGGTTTTAGTCCTGGTTTAGTCTAGGTTTAGACCTGGTTTTAGTCCTGGTTTAGTCCTGGTTTAGATCTTTAGTTTAGACCTGGTTTAGTCCTTTTAGACCTGGTTTTAGTCCTGGTTTAGATCTAGTTTAGTTTAGACCTGGTTTTCCTAGTTTAGACCTGGTTTTAGTCCTGGTTTAGACCTGGTTTAGATCTAGTTTAGATCTAGTTTAGACCTGGTTTTAGTCCTGGTTTAGTCCTGGTTTAGACCTGGTTTAGATCTAGTTTAGACCTGATTTTAGTCCTGGTTTAGTCCTGGTTTAGACCTGGTTTAGATCTGGTTTAGATCTAGTTTAGACCTGATTTTAGTCCTGGTTTAGTCCTGGTTTAGACCTGGTTTAGATCTAGTTTAGATAGTTTAGTTTTAGTCCTGGTTTAGACCTGGTTTTAGTCCTGGTTTAGATCTAGTTTAGACCTGGTTTTAGTCCTGTTTAGTCCCTGGTTTAGATCTAGTTTAGACCTGGTTTTAGTCCTGGTTTAGTCCTGGTTTAGACCTGGTTTAGATCTAGTTTAGACCTGGTTTTAGACCTGGTTTTAGTCCTGGTTTAGACCTGGTTTAGATCTAGTTTAGACCTGGTATAGTTTCTGGCAGTGAGTGGCCCAAAATGTGAAAACAGGAAAATCCCGCCGTGTAATCAATCCATTTATTTCAACAAAGTAACTGTAATCCAATTACCACTCACTGAAACTGTAACTGTAACCGAATACAGTTACTCATAATTTGTACTCTGATTACGTACTCCGGTACATGTAATCTGTTACTCCCCAACACTGTCAGCTTCAGGGTTTATTGATTAAATATAAATGTGTGAATGAAACAAAACACAACTCAGGTCTGTTTGTGATGAGGAAACAAAAGTATAACTTACAGTAGATCAGAAAACAGCCCTTTAAATTTCAGTAACAAAGCAAAAGTTAAAACATCTGTGTGATTCTTATTGAGAAAAAAACTGAATTTAGACACCGTTTTGTTAGGTTTACTTCTGACTAATAAGAAATAACACTCTGTAGTTCCTCGGCAGATTGCAATAAAATCTTGTTAATATCCACATTTTTATCTTGTGTAATATTTCCTTTTACATTTCATTCCGTTTTTGTGGTTGATTTTTATAGCAATAATCCAAAAAATTATAGCAATATTCATTTTGTTTAAGACTATATTGCCTTTTCTGTATTTTTTTGTGTTATTTATTCAACATAATCTCCTCGCATTAGGGTTTTCTGAATGGTTAACATTTTTATATACCTTATTTATAATTTTTAGGTGATATTTAAGGATATGAAAGTCTGGATTTTATAGATTCTCAGGGTTATACAGCTGCCACTTCCTTCAGTTTTTTCATGCGCGGCTGAAGATTGTTTTCCCGTCTAAACTTAACTGCAAATACAGTAAATCACGACATGTACAAATTTGGTTGTGGTCGTTTTGGGAAGTCGGTGGCGCGTTATTTTAGTTTCATTTGTTTCTACTTTGTTTAAGGAAGTCGGTGCTTCCCTCATGTCTCAACACTGCAGCTGTATGTAAAGTTCAGAGATCACGTTTCAACATTTCAACAAAAGGACGGCGTAGGATGTGGGCTAACGTTTCCGACACTGGGCTGCATTTTGCTTTCGCTAGACTTAAAAAACGGACTTGGTCAAACTGTGTGTGGAATTTGGACTAAGATTTGGATCTGATCTTAGAGAAATTCGACTTTCACGCTTGTTTCTTGATCATTGTTTTGTATTGGAGTATTTAGGAACTTCAATCTTGGGTCTTGGGATTTTTTATCTTGGATCTTAGGCGCAAGATCTTGGATTTGGACCGGATTTAGACTCAGTTCGGGGCCAGGATGAACTTGCCGACGCGAGAGGAGGTGGAGGGCTGGGATCAGGGACACGTGGCTGCTTTCATGCACCAGGTAAGAAGAGACTGATAGTTTTCACAAAGTCAAGTCTGTAGTAAGAATAGGAGCCAGTAATGTCCAAAAATCAGCAAGTTTTAAGTCTAGTCTGGATGGGAAAGTCCTGGTTTGGTCCATAAATATAAGATGGGCAACTCTAAATAAATCTTTTGACCTTAGACTGTATAAAAAAGTCGTCTAAGTGAGTGCGGCGTCACTCATAGCGCTCGGCTATTTATTTACGGACAAAATAGCGAAATAAAAACATCAGGATCATATAGAACAGACATGACTCAGGCCCAGGCGTCAATTTTTTCCCGCAATATCATTATATTTGGCCCACGAGATCAGATCAAACATGTATTAGAGCTGCCTGCCGGCTACAGATCGACTATAGAGACATTATTTATACAAAATGTTGTTATTATTTTATATAATGCTTGTTCTGGATTCAATGTTTAAGCAAAACTATTATTAAACATTTATTTTAATAAGAAAAGGTTTAACATTACAAACATTACATTGTATTTAATGCCAAAATTATTCAAATTGACCTGTCCAGCTGTAATACTGGATTTGATTTTGTATGTTTCGTATGTTTAACATTTTAAAGTCTCTTTAAATCTACCAGATTTTTACGATCTTAAAGCCATGAAAACCAGAAATAGTTCTTCTTCACTTATCTTATGCATTCAGAGCATTCTTATTATTCACACCGATGAGTTTATAAGCACTTTTCACAACTCAAAGAGACCAGAGTGGAGTTTTGCCATGACAATCTGGTACACTGCAAATTATTTTGACTTCAAGAACTGCTTATACAATATATCTGTTCTGGGGCAAGACACATTTAGCGCATTTAGAACTTTTAATGGCAAGGAGAAAATTCAGTTTGTCGACTAGACAAAAGTTAGTTTGGTTGAAGACGTTTCGCAGCTCATCCAAGCCGCTTCTCCAGTTCTGCTTGGATGAGATGTGAAACGTCTTCAACCAAACTAACTTTTGTCCAGTCAACAAACTGAATTTTCTCCTCACCATGGATTCTACCTGGACGACTGAGGGATTCTTCACACATCTCGAGTAGAACTTTTAATGCCATCCAATCCTATTTCATTTGCACAGCACAGTCTATGAACAACTGTTCATTTGAATGAAATATTTCTTCTGAAATTTCTTTCTTCTTACATCTGAAATCATTTTGCTGTTTTTTCTTTTGCCTGGATGAGCCTTTTGGACCAAACTGATGTCTGTGACCAAACTGATGTCTGTGAGGAGGAGGATGGTGAGGTCCAGTGTGGTGACCCACTTCACACTGGGAGCCTACACTCACCTGGGGCCTGTAAAATGGCTGTACTTCCTGCTCGTATTGTCCATTCTGATCCTTGTGTCCAACCTGCTCTACAAAAGAAGAAAAAACATGCAGATGTTGTTGAAAATTTTCTATAAATATTATACTTAGTCCCAGTTTTTAATGTTGCCCCTCTGTGAATTTGAGTTTGACATGACCTGATACAGAGTGAATTAATACAAACATTTTAAGACCAAAATCACGAGGCTCACGGCAGCAGTTACAGAGACAGAGGTGACAATTTCTCAACGTAAAGTAATTTGGAGTTCAACAGAGCCGGAAGCACATGTCCATTTACACTCTCTGCTTTTGACTTAATCAATGACAGTTCTATGCGATCTCCAGCTGGCACTTACTGTTGTTGTGCCTTTGGGCAAGACATTTTATCCACTTTGCCTAGATGTTTAAGTGAGTCATGGTTGGTGATTGGACAGGATGTAGGCAGGATGTAGTTTCCCTTGTGAATGAAGTTTGTTTAGTGTAATGTCTGTTCAAGGCAAGAGGAAGATTATTTTATTACCGTATTTTCCGTACTATAGGGCGCTCTGGATTATAAGGCGCACTGTCATTGAATGGTCTATTTTGGAACTTTTTTCACATATAAACCGCACCGGACTATAAGGCGCTTTAAATGAAACACAACAGTTAGATAACCTCTGGACTAATTATAAAAAAGCCAGTTTGCAAAGACTGCAGATGATTTACAATGATGCTTTACGGGTGCTTTTGAGGAGTCCACGATGGACGAGTGCGACTGAAATGTTTGTTACTGCTCGAGTGAACGCTCTGCAAGCTGCACTAAGAATTTTAATGTACAGTTTTATCTGCAGACTGAACAAATCAGACAATGAAATAATAATGTCACTCACAAATTTGAGATTCAGTGCAATAAGGTATCAGTCCAACATGTGGAGACACTGGTATGACTGTCTTTTAAAAACATGAATGTTTATTGTTTTGTATTGTCACTGCCCTTGTCTGTTTTTTAAATGGACCATGAGTCCGGAATAAAGATGATGATGATGATAAATGAAACACAACAGTTAGATAAGTCAGTCAAACTTTATTTAACGCGTTCACAATAACTCTCAACTTTATTCAGTTGTAACCTGTAAAAAAAATACTGTCTGAGACGCTAAATTGTTATCATATTCACAATAAGTCATAATTGTTGAAACAGTTGGGCGATTACGGCGTCCAGCTCGTCCACATCCCTCTCGTCATTATCCGAGTCAGTGTGGTTACTGTTCCCTGGCAGTTCAGTTCAGTGGTGATTCTGGTCTTGGTGAAAGCTCGGACCACAGTTGATCCTGATCCTTCGCCCGGGCGTCCACGATCCGTCGGCAGATCGTGGCGTAAGTCGCTCGGCGCTGTCTCTCTGTCTCGGTGAATGTGTGTTCTCCTTCTCTCATCCACTGCTCCAACGCAGCTCGCACTTTCACTTTATAACATCCTTGATTTTAAAGTGGGTGTTGTGAGCGTGTCTCTTGACAGGTGCATTTTGATATTAAAAGGAATCACAGTTTGTATTACCCCTGATGCTCCTGACCACAGGAGCCGTAATGCTGCAAGTGGTGCGGCTTTGTAGTTTACTAAAGTCGTACTAAGACAAACCAATAAATTCATATATAAGATAATCAACATAATATTGAAAAGTTGACTAATCGTTGGGAAGGAGATCTCCAATGCCACTAGCAGGAACATAGTTGGAAGGACAGTATCCGCTCGACTCATTCACTATTCCTTAACAACAAATATAAAAAGACCCAATTTAAAATTTTACACAGGCAGCACAGAACACCAGTTTTTTTTTTTTTTTTTTTTTGAGTAGGATAGACCCAAGTAGATCACCTTTATGTCTTAAATGTAAAGCAACAGATGGGACCTATTTACACTTACAACAACTTTACAACATAGTGAAATTAAAACTAGTGAAGGATCCGGGTTGGTTTCTGCTGGGGCTGCCACCATTAAACAAAGTGGCAGACAAAAGTAAATTAAAATTAGTAGCTAAATTACTATTTCTGGCGCGTAAGTGTGTGCTGTTTAACTGGATTCAAGAGAAGCCACCAACTGTCACCCAGTGGTATAAATATATTTTTGAGAGAAAAACTCAAACACATGCTCAGACTGCTCTTTGTTTTGTGTGTTGTGTTAAAATGTTGAAAACTTAATAAAATATGTTTAAAAAAAATAAAAAAAATTCATATATAAGGCGCTCTGGATTATAAGCCGTGCAGTCGTTTTTTGATTAAATTAAAGGTTTTTAAGTGCGCCCTATAGTGCAGAAAATACGGTAGATTTATTGTATTTATTTCGTTACTTAACCTTTACTTAACCAGGTAATTCAGATTTCCAAACATGTCCTGGCCAAAACTGTATAAATTTGCCAGGCTTTTGTTGCGTTAGTGTTTCTTTTTGTTTTTGTTTTAGTGATTAAACCGTCTTTGCTTTCTCCTCAGATGAAAATGTACGAATGTGCCGGCACGGTCAACAGATTTCAAATCAACGGACACCGATTTTTGGTAAGTTTGTTGTTTTGTTTTGTCTTTCTCATAAAGAAGAGTCAAAATCCCATGCATCTGACTCATACATTCTTTTTACAATTTGATATTTTTCATTATTTCCAGAGAATTTGTAGTTATGTGGACTTGCATTAGGTCATTGCAACAGCTCATACTGTACGTAACTCAGAGGTTGGTTAAGTAAGTGAAAAGAGATTGGACACATACATTTTAAAACACTTCCTGTTCTGTTGTTATGAAAGTGACTCATGGAGAAACAATATTACTATAAGTACTGCGTGAACTGTAGTGAACTGGGTGGAATAGTCTTGGGTTCGAGCGTTTTATTCCTCGGCTTTCTGACTCACTTTATCTCCGAGTTGGATCTTGAGTGGTTGATTCTGGTGTTCATATTGTTTCTCTGGTTGTAATATTTTGTATTACGTAATTCTGGTTATATACAATTTCCCAATCCAGTGCTGGAAATGACTTCATCTGAAATCTGAAATTGAGGCAATGACACCAAAAAAAAAGAGCACGTATTATTCTAAATATTCTTTTTTGAGATTTTAACCTTGTTAAATAATTTCTAAATCAATAACAAGTCTAATGGGTGTCACATTAGACCAAACTCTGTCATGGATGTGGCAAATATTCTGTGTTGATCACGCTGATTCACCCAATATTTTGTACCTTGGAATGACAACAGGGAGAAAAACACATTGTCTATCAATGGTTCTGTGGGAAATTATGTGTTGGTCATGCTAAATTCACCTAATATTATGGACTTTGGAATGACAACAGGGTGGAAAACACGTATGACTATCTATAGGTCTATATAACATGTTATTTCTGTACTTGGAGTGTCATAAAGAACATGTTTTTCTGTACTTTGAGTGCCACGGAGCAGCAAAACTGACATATGTGGACCCCGTGGCATGTTCCCACCCATGATAAGGTGCACTGGGTCAGCAGTATTGTTCATTTTCTTGCTGTATATGCTAAATCAACAAGTTAATGTTTTGTCAAGATGTAGTATAAAGCTACCCCTGATTTTGAGTTGGTCAGAGGCGTCGTTCCGGGGTGGCAGTTGTACTTGGTAATCAACTTGAATCCCTCTCAATGGAAAATGACGAAATAAAGTGGCCTGTTCTCTCGGATTCTCCATCTCCTGTGCTTCTTTTTAGGACACGCATTGAACCTTCCGAAAAAACCCACAGTTCTATAAAAAGACATGTTTTTCTGTACTTTGAGATGCTACGAAGCAGAAAACTGATGTATGTGGACCCCGTGGCATGTACCCACCCATGATAAAGTGCACCGGGTCAGCATTATTGTTCATTTTCTTGCTGTATACGCTAAATCAACAAGTTAATGTTTTGTCAGATGTGTGGTATAAAGCTACCCCTCGTTGTGAGTTGGGCAGAGGCGTCGTTCCGGGTAAATCAACTTGAATCTCTCTGAATTGAAAATGCTGAAATAAAGTGGCCTGTACTCGGATCTTCCATCTTTTGTGCTTCTTTCTAGGACACGCACTGAACTCTTCCGAAAAAACCCACATGGACAACTCATATAAATAATATTGTCACTAAGACGAGTAGAAATACTTCAATAATTAGCAGAAATGCTCAATTTATGCCAACTGAAGCGAGGAAACTTGTACATTCTCTTGTTTTATCTCATCTGGATTTTTGTCCTACTGTGTGGTCTAGTGCTGCCAACAAACACCTGGACAAACTGCAGATAATTCAGATGCCCTTTCAGAACTAGTATTAATTATTGTTAAGAGAAACAACGGACGGCACTTGAGACTGATCCTTTAGCCCAGGCGTCCACGATCCGTCGACAGATCGTGGTGTAATTCGTCCGGCGTTGTCCTCCCTGTCTTGGTGAATGTGGATTATGAATGTGAATGTGGGAGGATTATTGGTTTGTTTTTTATTTCCTATGAGGATGACTCAAATATACATTGAGTAATAATGTGTTTAATGCAGCTTTGTGCACATTTGTTTACATTTTGCACAAACGAAACTTAAAACCACATGGCTCATTTGCATAAACTATAAAAGCTGAAAAAACTGCTCACTCCTTGTGCGCTTACCAAAGTCGTACTAAAACATTTTGACAGATTTTTGAGCGCCCTGTACCACATAAAATCGGTTCAAGGTCAGTAAGAATAACCAGAATTAATACATGAGGTGCACTGGATTATAAAGCGCACTGTCCATTTTTGAGAAAATTAAAGGATTTTAAGTGCGCCTTATAGTCCGAAAAATACAGTACTTATCTCTATGTATCTGAACCAGCTGCACTCAATGGCTACACCTGCACAAGAGATTGTGCAAAAACAATTTTATTTTTGCAGAAAAATTACTGTAAATGTTTGAATAAAATTGTGAAATACAAATTCAATCTGGTTTATTGTATAAAAATACCGAATCTTCATAAATCCTATAATCACTGACCGATTGACAATAGGGCTGTCGCAATAACTGCAAAAATGAATCACCAAGGTACTAAGAGGCCCACAGGTTCATGTTGAGCCACCACGTGATCACCGCACGTGACCAACGTGACCGTGACCTGCACTGGTCTATTTTTAGAGACACACAACCGCCCGGACCATTAACATTCCATTTGTTACTGCCCGTGCCCATGATAACCCAGGACTAAACCAGGACTAATCCAGGACTAAACTAGTTCTAACCCAGGACTAATCCAGGACTAACCCAGGATTAACCCAGGACTAACCAGGACTAACCAGGACTAATCCAGGACTAACCCAGGATTAACCCAGGACTAAACCCAGGACTAATCCAGGACTAACCCAGGATTAACCCAGGACTAATCCAGGACTAACCCAGGATTAACCCAGGACTAATCCAGGACTACCCTAGGACTAATCCAGGACTAAACTAGTTCTAACCCAGGACTAATCCAGGACTAACCCAGGATTAACCCAGGACTAATCCAGGACTAACCCAGGATTAACCCAGGACTAACCAGGACTAACCCAGGACTAATCCAGGACTAACCCAGGATTAACCCAGGACTAATCCAGGACTAACCCAGGATTAACCCAGGACTAAACCAGGACTAACCCAGGACTAATCCAGGACTAACCCAGGATTAACCCAGGACTAATCCAGGACTACCCTAGGACTAAGGTGCTCCTGCGATCACCCGATCTCGCTTTGTGGGCACCTGCTCAGTGTGCTCGTGCTCGTGACTCTCTGTTAAATCTGCGGGTACCTGACCTGATGCAGGACTCTGACCCGACCTGGTGCAGGACTCTGACCCGACCTGGTGCAGGACTCTGGTGCAGGACTCTGACTCTGACCCGACCTGGTGCAGGACTCTGACCCGACCTGGTGCAGGACTCTGACCCGAGCTGCCACAGTGAGAGCTGGAGAGATGCAGCGGCACTTGTTCCAAAGCCAAATGTTACTTCTCACACTACACACACTATATCATCCACATGACAACCAAGGTACATGTGCATCTGTGCAACAAGTGCATCATCGGAGAGAGTTTTCAGTGCCACTGGAAATATTATAACTGTGGGGGATGGGGGGTGGAGGAGGGGGTGCAGTGTCACCACATACCACAGCGAGCGGTATGAGCTGCTGTATCGCACCGCAGGAGAAATTCCCAAACCACGACAGCCGTAGTTGCCAAAACGACTAACACATGATTTTAAATGTAGTGAAGTACAAACTATAAAACTATAATTACAAGTAGTTATAAATGTACAATTACCCCCAAATCTACTCATTTGCAGTAATGTGAGTATTTGTAATTATTTACTTCCAACCCCTGGACATGTGTTTTATTCAGTGTTGGGAAGGTGACTTTTAAAATGTAATCCCCTACAGATTACAGATTACACACTCCAAAATGTAGTTTGTAACATAATCCATTAAATTACTTAAAATGAGTAACGTAATCTGAATACTTTGGATTACTTGATATTGTCATGTTTTTTAAAATAACATGAATGTAACAACCACATCCTGAAAATTCTTGTTTGTTCTCTTCAAATTGGCCCTGGTTTAGACCTGGTTTTAGTCCTGATTTAGTCCTGGTTTAGACCTGGTTTAGTCCTGGTTTAGACCTGGTTTTAGTCCTGATTTAGACATGGTTTAGTCCTGGTTTAGTCCTGGTTTTAGTCCAGGATTTAGTCCTGGTTTAGCCCAAAATGTGAAAACAGGAAAATACCGCCATGTAATCCATTTATTTCAACAAAGTAACTGTAATCCAATTACCACTCACTGAAACAGTAACTGTAACTGAATAAAGTTACTCATAATTTGTACTCTGATTACGTAACTCTGGTACATGTAATCTGTTACTCCCCAACACTGGTCTTATTTCAGTTTGTACTACAGGCTAAAGATAGACTAAAACACACCATAAAACTTTCCCATAGTCTTTAAATATCCCATTTTCAGCGCCTCCATCTCTTTATAAAGTAATCTACTCCTCTGTTCACTCACCACTGACCCCTATCCTGTTCATTTTCAGACACACACTGCTTCACTGAGCACTCAGCTTATGTTATACCAGCTTTATCTTCTCCAAAATGCACCAAACCAGGACTCAATATGATAAATGAGTTAGTGCGAGGGTTTTGACGGCGATGAAAAATACCTCGGACAATCTTGGTGTGCAAACATGCGACGTGGTTATGTTTTTTTTAGTAATAAACATGGCTTAAAGGAGACGTACTGGATTTAGATTTAGATTTAGACAAAACTTTATGGATTCACAAAGGAAATTATTTGGACACAGTAGCTCAAATATCATAATGGAACTCAAAATCGATCAGTATGAGGGGGAAAAAAATTGCTGAGTGATTCTTTTTTTTTCCTCCGTATCGCTCAGCTCCACATCACAATATATTAAAATAACAAGGCACAAAAGTATAAATGGTAATAATACATTCTACACTGCAAAAAAACTAAATCTAATCAAGTTAAGATGAGTTGAATGAATAAAGTTTGACCATGATTTGAGTAAAT